TCCTTGGATGATGGTGAGGTTTATTAACAGAGTTGGAAGGGACCTTATAGGTCATCTAGTCCAGTGGTCACCAACCGGTGATCCGTGGACCACTGGTGGTCCGTGAGAAAATTTTGGTGGTCCGCAGAGAAATTTTCGTATTTTTGCATTTTTGCAGGTGGTGCAATATGGAAAAAGGAGTGCAGCTATCGCCGTCCAGAATGAATGGTGCTGTTGTGATGGTGGGGGAGGGGGCAGCACAAGTGGGAAGACATGGCGTTTGTGATGGCTGGAAGCTGCGGGAGCGAAGCACTACTTTCATTTGCACAACAACAGCATTCCGCCTCGGTATATTTGCGCCAACCAGTGGCGCAAGGCAGCCCTCATCTCCTGCCGCCTGGAACTCGGAGTGGTAAATGGTGACTGGTCCGGGGAGCAGCCGGATTTTGCTCTCCATTGCGGATGCCAGATCAGCTCCCTGCAAGCTCTTATCTCTCAAGGAGCTTGACTAAAGTTTCCCGCACCACTTCAGGGAGTGCTCCTCAAGAGACGAGAGCTTGCAGGGGGCCTATCTGGCATCCGCAATGGAGAGCAAAATCCGGCTGCTCCCCGGACCAGACACTGTTTACTGCGCTGACTCCCAAGAGGCTGGAAACAAGGGCTGCCTTGCGCTGCAAATATACCAAGGTGGAATCCTGATGCCACACTTACAGCAGAGAAGAAGCTGGATTTTGCTCTCCATTGCAGACACCAGTTCGGCCCCCTGCAAGCTCTCATCTCTTGAGGAGCCCGACCAAAGTTTCCAGTGCCGCTTCAGGGACCGCTACTCGAGAGCTTGCAGGGGGCCGATCTGGCGTCCGCAATGGAGAGCAAAATCTGGCTGCTCCCTGGACCAGTCACCATTTACCGCTCCGAGTCCCAAGCGGCAGGAAACAAGGGCTGCCTTGTGCCATCGGCTGGCGCAAATATACCAAGGCGAATGCTCATGCCGCACAATTTCAAATAGTGCTTCGCTCCCACACTTCTTCCGGCCCTTGAATGAGAATGAGAGAGAGATTGGGGGGAGAGAGTGAGAGAAAGAGGGGGGGAGAGAAAGAGAGAGGGGGGAGAGAGAAAGAGAAAGAGTGGGAGAGAGAGAGAAAGAGGAGAGAAAGAGAATGAGAGAGAAAGTGGGAGAGAAAGAGAATGAGGGAGAGAGAGAGAGAAAGAGAATGAGAGAGGGGGAAAGAGAGAAAGAGGGGGAGAAAGAATGAGAAAGAGAGGGGGAAAGAGAGAATGAGAGAGAGTGGGAGAGAGAGAGAAAGGGGGGAAAGAAAATGAGAGAGGGGGAGAGAAAAAGAAAAAGAGTGGAAGAAAGAGAGAATGAGAAAGAGAGGAGGGAGGGAGAAAGAAAGAGAAAGAGAGAGGGAATGAGAAAGAAAGAATGAGAGGAAGAGAGGAAGAGAGGGGGAATGAGAAAGAGAATGAGAGAGATAGTGGGGGAGAGAGAGAGAAAGGGGGGAGAGAAAGAGTGGGAGAGAGAATGAGAGAAAGAATAAGAGAGAGAGTGGGGGAGAGAGAAAGGGGAGAGAAAGAGAATGAGAGAAAGAGGGAATGAGAGAGAAAGAGTGGAAGAGAGGAAGAGAAAAAGAGAGAGAAAGGGGGAGAGACAATGAGAGATAGTGGGGGGAGAGAGAAAAGGGGGAGAGAGAAAGAGTGGGAGAGAGAGTGGGGGAGAGAGAGAAAGGGGAGAAAGAGAATGAGAAAGAGTGGAAAAGAAAGATTAAGAATGAGAAAGGGGAGAGAGAAAGAGAGAATTGAGAGAGAATGAGAGAGGGGGGAGAGAAAGAGAAAGAGGGGGAATGAGAAAGAGAATGAGGGGGAGAGAAAAAGAAAGAGTGAAAGAAAGAGAATGAGAGAGGAGGGAGGGAGAAAGAAAGAAAGAAAGAGAGGGAATGAGAGAGAAAGAATGAGAGGAAGAGAGGGGGAATGAGAAAGAGAATGAGAGAGATAGTGGGGGAGAGAGAGAGAAAGGGGGAGAGAAAGAGTGGGAGAGAGAATGAGAGGAAGAATAAGAGAGAGAGTGGGGGAGAGAGAAAGAGAATGAGAGAAAGAGGGAATGAGAGAGAAAGAGTGGAAGAGAGGAAGAGAGAGAAAGAGTGAGAAAGGGGGAGAGACAATGAGAGAGATAGTGGGGGGAGAGAGAGAAAAGGGGGAGAGAGAAAGAGTGGGAGAGAGAGTGGGGGAGAGAGAGAAAGGGGAGAAAGAATGAGAAAGAGTGGAAAAGGAAGAGAAAGAATGAGAAAGGGGGAGAGAGAAAGAGAGAATGAGAGAGAGAATGAGAGGGGGGAGAGAGAAAGAGAAAGAGGGGGAATGAGAAAGAGAATGAGGGGGAGAGATAAAGAGAGAATGAGAGAGAAAGTGGGAAAGAGAAAGAGGGGGAATGAGAGAAAGAGGGGGAGAGAGAATGAGAGAGATAGTGGGGGAGAGAAAAGGGGGAGAGAGAAAGAATGAGAGTGGGAGAGAGAGAAAGAGGGGGGAGAGAATGAGAGAGATAGTGGGGGAGAAAGGGGGTAGAGAGAAAGAAAGTGGGAGAGAGAAAAAGAGAATGAGAAAGGGGGAGAGAGAGAATGAGAGAAAGAAAGAGAGAGAATGGGGGAGAGAAAGAGAGGGAATGAGAAAGAGAGAATGAGGGGGGAGAGAGAGAATGAGTGGGAGAGAGAAAGAGGGGGAATGAGAAAGAGAATGAGAGAGGAAGAGAGGGAATGAGAAAGAATGAGAGAAAGAGTGGGAGAGAGAAAGAGATGGGGAGAAAGAATGAGAGGGGGGGGAGAGAGAGGGGGGAGAGAAAAAGAGAATGAGAGAGAAACAGTGGGAGAGAGAGAGAAAGAGAGAGAGGAGGGAGAGTGCCTGAAGGACCCCATCCCGTCACTGGGAGTCCAGGTGCTTCAGCAAGCAGCGCACTGATTCGTATTAGTGGTCCGCGAAATTTAAAATTATGAACTTGGTATCCCTGAAGTCCAAAAGGTTGGGGACCCCTGATCTAGTCCAACCAACCGCCTAACCATTTCTGACAAATGGCAGCCCAATCTTTTCTTGAAAGTCTCAAGTGATGAAGTTCCCACATCTTCCAAAGGCAATTTTTTTTTTTTTAATTTGATTTATATGCCGCCCTTCTCCGGAGACTCAGGGCGGCTTACAGTGCGTTAAGCAATAGCCTTCATACTTTTGTATATTTATACAAAGTCAGCTTATTGCCCCCACAAACTGGGTCCTCATTTCACCTACCTTAGAAAGGATGGAAGGCTGAGTCAACCTTGAGTCTTGGAGAGATTCGAACCAGCAGTAATTGCAGGCAGCTGTTAATAACAGGGTGCTTAGACCACTGTACTATCAAGGCAATTGATTGACTGTCAGAAAGTTCCTCCTTATTTCCAGGTTGAATCTCTTCTTGATCAGTTTCCATCCATTATTCCTTGTCTGGCCCTCAGGTGTTTTGAAAAATAGCTTGACCCCTTCCTCTCTGTGGCAGCCCCCTCAAATACTGGAACACTGCTATCATGTCTGCCCTGGTCCTTCTCTTCACTAGACTAGCCCTGCCTAGTTCCTGTAACTGTTCTTCATGTTTTAGTCTCCAGTCCCCTAATCATCCTGGTTGCTCTCCTCTGCACTTTTTCTAGTCTCTCAACATATTTTTTATAGTCTGGTGACCAAAACTGGATGCAGTACTCTAGGTGTGGTCTTACTAAGACTTTATAGAGTGGTATTAATACCTCACTTGATCTTGATTGTATCCCTCTATTAATGCAATTTAGGATTATATTGGTTTTTTTGGCTGCCACTGCACACTCCTGGCTCATATTTAGTTGCTTGTCCACTAAGACTCCTAGATCCCTCTCACAGTCACTGATATTAAGCCTGATTTCACCCAGTTTATATGTGTACTTTTGGTTTTTCTTACCTAAGTATAGGACTTTACTTTATATTGAATTTCATTTTGTTAGATAGAGCCCAGTGTTCAAGTCTGTCAAGATCCATCTGGATCTTAAGCCTATCTCCTAGGGTGTTAGCTATTCCTGACCGCTTTATATCATCTGAAAATTTGGTAAATTCTCCTTCTATTCCCTCATCTAAGTCATTTATGAAAATATTGAGGAGTACTGGGCCAAAGATGGAACCTTGTAGTACCCCACTGCTTACTTCTCTCCATGTAGATTTGGACCCATTAAGGACTACTCTTTGAGTATGGTTTGTCAGCCAGTTACGAATCTAACTGATGGTGAAGCTATCTGCAATGTATTAAGTCTGCTGAAGTAGGAAGTAACATTCTGTTCGTTGATTAAGTCACCTGACAGCTGACACAAGAACTGTCAGGCAGAGTTCCAAGCAGTTTCAGTTATAGCTGTGGCAGTTAGCCCAGCTGTTGTTAATAAACAGTTAATTACATGATCTTCGCATTGTTCATCTTCCTTGATCCAGCCAATACATTTCACTATCTATCCCACTTTTTTCTAGTTTATGAAGAAGTAGGTTGTGGTCTACTTTGTCAAATGTCTTGCTTTATTGTTGAGAATAAAGCTGAATCTATGGATTTCATTTATTTTTCCTGTGTGGATACTTTTATGAGAAGTAAGCACGCTCAATGGTTGTCCCACTTCTCATGCATTTTTAATTTTCTCCTGTGGGGATGCCTCTGTGACAACTACAGATGCTATAGTCATTAAAGCTCTTTTCATACTTGATGCACTTACATTGCTTTGCCTGTGTCAATCTTTTTATGATAAGTAAAAAATTTTCTCTTTCCTCACTCCAGGCACATACATTATTTATGCCGTGTGATTCCTTTGATGGTGATTAAGAAGAGTCTTCCTGCTGAACCTCTTACCACATTCCGTGAATTTATACGTTCTCTCCCCAGTGTGGAACATTTCATGACAATTAACTTTCTTTCTAAGTAAAGCTCTTTCCACACTCCATTCATTTATATGGTTTTTCCTCAGTGTGGATTCTTTCATGACGATTAAGATTTCCTTTTCTTGAACAGGTCTTTCCACATTCCATGCATTTATATGGTTTCTCTCCAGTGTGTATCCGTTCATGAAGATTAAGATGTCCCTTCTGTGTAAAGGTATTTCCACATTCCATGCATTTATATGGTCTCTCCCCTGTGTGGATTTTTTCATGACAATTAAGATGTTCTTTCCGGGTAAAGGTCTTTCCACATTTGAGGCACTTATGTGGTTTCTCTCCAGTGTGGATTCTTTCATGATGATTAAGATGTCCCTTCCGTGTAAAGGTCCTGTCACATTCCATGCATTTATATGGTCGCTCCCCTGTGTGGATTCTTTCATGACGATTTAGATGTGCCTTCCGTGTAAAGGTCGTTCCACATTTCATGCATTTGTATGGTCTCTCCCCTGTGTGGTTCCTTTGGTGGTAAATAAGATGAACGTTGTTAATGTCCGTACATTTATGTGGTCTCTCCCCAGTGTGGATCCTTTGGTGGAGAATAAGTGTTCTCTTGTTAATGAATCTCTTACCACACTCCATGCACAGTTTCATCTCTCTGCTCTGACTGGAATCCCTCCCAGATTTTACAAAGGTATGTGGTTTGCTTTTGCTGTGTTTTTCATACATTTTCCCTTCAGTCTGGTTTATGCCATATTCATGTAAATCAAATTGATTTTTCTCTTTTTTCTCATATTTTTCCTTTTGCGTTCCTTCCAGGCCTTGCTGGGGCAGGAAGCTAGGGATTCCAACAGGAACAGAAGTGGATGACATCTCCCCTCCATTTTCTGAGTGCCTCCTGTCTTGTCTTCTTGTGTCCTCTTCGTGGCCAAATATAACTTCTTCAACTTCACATTTCTCTGTCTTTAACCTTCCTTGCTTGCTATTCTCATATTCCAGCCCATCATCTCCTTGGAAAAAAGAAAAGAAATATTTCTGTTACAATTAGAATGGTGAAGGTGTGTGTGTCTCCCCCTCAAAATCATATGTTCTAGGTTTGGCACTAGCTATGTGTCTAGCTAAGATGTGAAGGCTGCAAACTGTTATCTAGGATATCCTGATGGTATACAAAGAATTTTTCAGCCAAGAAATATATTAAGGCTTTGGTGCTGATTGGTCAATCTGTACAGCCACTGCCATGGAGCATCTAGGACATTTTCAGAGTCTATGGTGAGTATTTCTGACACGGCCTTAAGGAGGGACGATCACCTTAAGCATCTGAGTGTAAATAGCTAGTCATCCTCCACTGAAAAAAACCTCCCCCAATGAATGGAAGCCAGAGCAAAGCTTGGCCTTACCCAGAGCAGCCATATTGTTCAAATTTTCCCACATGACTTCTCTGCACAAGGTCTTCTGACCAGAATCTAGCAGCTCCCACTCCTCCAGCGTGAAGTCCACAGTCACCTCCTCAAATGGATCAGATCCCTGATAAAGAAAATGTTCCTTGGCAGACATTACCAGGAAGACTTGCAAGTTTTCTCTCTTACTGCACAAAATGGAATCAGAAGTTCACAAGGAACTCAACTGACATTTTCTTACTGGAAACAGATTTATGCCTGTATCTCCATGTTGTCTTTGGGGCTGGGAAGCCATAGCTCCACAAATCATGGCTTAGATGCATCCCGGCTATGGAATAGCAATACAGCCACCATTGCAGTGTTTCCCACTGGGCCTGAAAAACTCAGCAAGGAGGTTTCAGGGAGCAGAGTCCCCTAGGCTAGCAAAATCCTAAGTAAAAATGACACACCCATTAGAAATTTTTCCTAACCTATTTTAAAATGTTGGCAATGAGCCTAGAAATCCCAAGTCACTTGGCCAACAATCTTACTGTTGCAGCTATTTAGCATTCACTTAGGGCTTTATTCTCATGGGATTCATGTGGTTTTTAATCTTATTCCTATTCGTTAAATTCATGGGCTTCATTTCTAACTAGTTTTCAGCACTCTTCTGAAAAATATGACCTATTAAAGTCTTTCCAGCAAACAAATTTTCTAACAATTTCTAATTTTCAGATTGTCTAATACAATGATGCCTACAAATTTTCTCTTGTTTGCAACTCAGGAACAATCTTGAACGCTGAGTGTGATTCCGCAGGACATTCTGGGGGGGCGGGGGGGCATTGAGTTCAAATGGACACAGATTCAGCATTTGATGGTAAAAGCAGATCATGAAGAGATGGAGTTTGTACTCCACTGCTCTCAGTAGAAACCTGCACTTACCTGGCAAGGAGGCCCCACTTGGATCCTCCTAAAAAGCAGCTCCTGAGAATGGCTGGATGGATCTCCTCTTTCCTGAACCTCTGTGGAGATCTCCCCCATGAACGGCTCCTGCACCTGACAGAAGAGTCTGGTTTATAATCCACTTTCAGAGAACCATAAATTTATTAATTTGCTTGCCTTACTTTTTGCCTCTGTACCTGTATTTCCCCAACCTAATTCAAAGTTAGAGGACTTGGGGACTCTGCTCTCTATGTGGCTGCTATTTCTGGGTAACTGCTGGTCATTTTAGATAGGTATTGGACTTAAAAATCTCTGTTGAAATAACTAACAAAACTGCTATGAAAATCCCAAGTACCCACATAACGAAGAACTGTTCAGGGAGACACTACTGTTTCATTAAGTTTAGAAGACAATATTGTGTGAAATGACTGAAAAAAACCCTACAGGTTAGAGAATTCTCTGAGAATTATCTCCAAGCATTTCAAGAAGAAATTAGTTCTCCAAATACTGGATCTTTCAATGCCTGCAATGAACTGATGTAATGGCAGTCAGCAGGCTAATTCTGCACTTGATCCTGACCGGCTCAAAATTGACAGCCTTCAATCTGCCATTACATCAGTTCATTGCAGGCATTTAAAGATCCCCGATTCTCCCCTCCTCTGCCCATTGAGCTGCCTCCCCTCCTCACCTGCTGCCCCTTTGGCGGCTCTTCCCTCTGGGCTTGGCTGAGCAGGAAGCCTTCGGCCAGGGCCACCGCCTGGGAACAGCTCTCGGCCCCGCACTCCCTCACCCAGCTCGCCATCTCCGCGGGCAGCAGGGCCAGCAGCTGCTCCAGCACCACCAGGTCCAGCATCTCCCCTTTGCTGCTCCTTTCCGGCCGCAGCCACTGACGGCACAGCCGGTGCAGGCGGCTGCAAAGCTCCCGGGGCCCCTCGGCCTCCTGGCGGCAGCCATCGGGAGCGCGGAAGCGGCGGCGGTGGATCTCTGGGCTGAGGGCGCCCTCCATCCCTGGAGATTTCTCGGCCTCCATCGCGTCTCCTGCTCGTGAGCAGCCAAAAGCCCAAGGCAGTCGGAAATGTTCTCCCGGGCCCTCTCCGCACTCCCTTCTCCGCTTTCCAGGAGGGGAGAAATGGGTGTCGAGCCTTCTGCGCCTGAGGAGAGCAACGGACAACCGTTCCCGCCAATTTGTTGCGCGCTCCTGGCCTCATGTGCCTCACCAAGGATTCCGAACGATAGATACGTGATTCCTAGAGGGAACCTAGGAGAAAGAAAACCAAAGCGGGCTTTCCTCTCCGGAGAAAGTAGAGCGGCTGGTGAAAAGCGCGCGCCTGCAGCCGTTGCTTTAGAGCGGCGGTACATTAAAAAGGCGGGGAGAAGAGCGATGGTTCTCGCTGTCGCCATGCTAAATTAGACCCCTGTCCTCTGCCTTGCAGGAAAAATCAGGGAGGCTGAGCTCAAAGACGGGGATTTTTCTTCGTCTCTTGAGTCCAGCTCTGGATGGGTCCTCCTAAACATCGGAAGGCGCGTCTGGTAGCCCCTTTCCCAACTGTTTCCTTAAAAGCCAAGAGCTTCGTGAGTGAAGCTCCCTTCCCGACTCTTTGTTTTCTCATCGTGAAAATTATATCTTCCCGAGAGTTTTATTTGCCAGATGGCAAAAGCAGAAGGAAGGTTAGATGACTGAGGATCTCAGTTTAAGGCAGCATGCACCAATCCCTTTGCTTTTTCGCGTCTCTGTTTAAACGCTGATCCTTGGAAGTAGTGAAAAACCAGGTGAAGGACAGATTATCTTCTTGGAGAAAATCTTACTTTATGTGGTCACTAAGAGTCAACACTGATTTGATAGCCCATAGTCTATCAAAAGTCACTTGTGGAATGAGCCACTTTCCACAGTGCTGAAAACTTCGGGGGCAACTTTAGTTACTGCCTATTCCCACCGATCCTTCCTTCCCGTCTGGTATTTGCTGCCCTGCTGTTGCTCTACGGCTTCGCTTCCAAAATGGACCACTGCTGCCCCCACCCCGTCCCCCACGCTCAGCCCTGCCCTCTAAACTTTCCTCTCAGCTGATTTGAGTGGTGATTGGGAAGCAAACCTGAGAATGGGGAAGCCACTCCATCTCCTGCCCATCTCTTAACTGTTTGAACTAGGCAGCAAGGGCACTGGGTGATGTGAAGGCTGTCCAGAGTGCAAGACATCCATATGGGAGTCTCGCACTGAGTTTTCCACCCGATTCTCATTCCACCTGGCTCTTGCCAGTGAAGTCAAAGTGAAACATAAGCGACAACCAGGTTGCAGGAGCAAGACCCCGGTTTAGCCCATCCGGAAGTAGGGTGGCCTTGTCCTGTGTCCAGACACCTTTTGCCTTTGAGGGATTGCTGCCTCCCCATCATCTGAGAAGAGGACCAGCCTTGAAAGAGCCACTCCTCAGCCTTCTCCAAATACAGAAAGGCCACCATATTTTCCTTTGTACATTCAGCAATCCCAGAACTCCCCATGGGAGAGGGGGGCATCCAAGGAAATCAGCAGGGCAATGTATGATCCTGGACTCAGAAAAAATGCCCCTCCTGCCATTGATGGTTTCCCCTGGCAAGAAGCCGGCTAGTGGGCACCAGCTAGATCTCTCCTTTCCACCTTCCTTGCTGAAGTTCTTCCTTCCCAGTCTGAGATCTAAACGCCTGGAAAGGCAGAGGAGGAACAGTCATGCAAGTAAACTAGTCCAGAGGGACCTCTGGGACCCACCAAAATAGTGGATTTTGGATCACACTTCCCAGTTGTTGGATTCAAAATTTTTTACTACCGGTTCTGTGGGCGTGGCTTGGTGGACATGGCAGGTGAAGGATACTGTAAAATCTCCATTCCCACCCCACTCCAGGGGAAGGTTACTGTAAAATCTCCATTCCCTCCTGATCAGCTGGGACTCAGGAGGCAGAGAATAGATGGGGGCAGGGCCAGTCAGAGGTGGTATTTACTGGTTCTCCGAACTACTCAAAATTTCCGCTATCGGTTCTCCAGAACTGGTCAGAACCTGCTGAATAACACGTCTGACTCTTTCTCTGGAATCACCTGGGCAATTCTTACTCTGTTCCTTGTTGCAGGACCAAGCAAACTGGTGGGGTCTGTGCTTCTAGACAAGTTTTATATCTCTCTGTCTTTCTTTCTGGGTATATCTTTGAGAAGGGCTATGGTTGGGTACAGAAGCTGTCTTGGATACAGGGTTGAGGTCCGCATTCCAGATCTGGCAATCCTGACTGCAAGATCCATTTGTCAGGCCTTCAAGCTAGTCCAGATAAGAAGGTCAAGAATGAATAGTAGGCTCTATCTCTATTGTGAGACCACAATATAAAATCCAGCAACTCTGAAAGTATTTCTCCCCTCCCCTCCTTTTACTCTCTGGAAAACTAGGGTGAGTTTCTTCTATCATTGTTCCAATGCTCTTTACCCTTAGTCTCCTTCAGGGGACTAGGACCGTGTTGCCAAACCTATGGCATGTGTGCTACAGGTGGCATGCAGAGCTCTCTCTGCGGGCACGCAAGCTGTTCCCCCATGCCCAGTTCTGCCACGCATGTGCTTGCGCCTCCCACCAGCCAGTTGGTTTTTGGGTCTCTTCTGCGCATGCATGGGGGGGCTGGGTGCATGTGGGAGATGCATGCGCGCATGCATGAGTGGGGGGTTGTGTGTGGGGGGGGTCATGTGCGCATGCACGGGGCATGCGGGGGGGGTCGCACACACATTGCATTATGGGTGCACGTGTGCTTTTGGCTCTCAGCGCCAAAAAGGTTAGCCATCACTGGACTAAGATATCTTTTACATTCTGCTTGTTCAGTCTGTGACTCTTCCCAAATCATTCCCACATACTATTACCCCATCCCTATCCGAGTTCCATGGAAGTCTTTTCCCATTGTTTGATAAGAAGAGAAACAGAGACATACAAAAGTCTTTAATAATAAGGTTTGCTATATTATCATATATTGCATGATTATTTTGAAGAATATCAGCTGAAATGGAAAAAGTGTCTCAACTAACTTTTGCAATAGAGGAAAGCAAGGGTGGATAGAGAAAGAATTGTGGCCAATCTCTGGAGCTTCTTACACCCCTCAGGGAGATGGGAGGTTAACATAGGCTTGAATTTAATGAATTATCTCAGAGAGGAAACAGAAGCATTTGCCTCAAGAAGAAAAGCATCATCCTATGATAAGTAAGGTCACTGATCCACCATCAGCGATTTCCAAATTCCAATGCTTATACGTTTTCTCCTGTGTAGCTACATGGATGGTAAATAAGATTCCAGTACAAACTGAAGAACTTTGCACATTCCATGAATTAATAAACTTCCTGCCATGTCGGGATCCTTGGATGATGATGAAGTTGACCTCAATCCATGGATTTATTTTTCCTGTGTGGATCATTTTATGTGAAGTAAGCACCCTCAGTGAAGGTGGTCCCACTTTTGAAGCATTTCTAATTTTCCCCTGTGGGGATACCTCTGTGACAATTCAAGGTGTTATAGTCATTAAAGCTCTTTTTGCACTTGGTGCATTTATCTGTTGTGTGGATCTTTTTATGAGAAGTAAATCTTCCTTTGCAAAGAAAGATCTTTCCTCATTCCAGGCACTTAGGTAATTTATGTCAGCAGTCCCCAACCTTTTTTCTCCCCACAGACCGGCAGTAGGTGGGAAGGGATGGGTTTTGCAAATGTAACCTAATCCCCTGCAATATGCAAACGAAGCTTCATATGCTTGCCTGCCACTTGCATGGCACGGTTCTCAATGGGCAGCGGACTGGTCCATGGTCCAGGGCTTGGGTGGCTCCTTTGGTGGTAATTAGGAGGAGTCTTCCTACTGAACCACATTCCACTCATTTATACGATCTCTCTGTTATGACCCAGGTGGTCAAGGCAAGGCAGGCCCCTAGAGCAAGGGTGTCAAACTGGTGGTCCACAGGCAGGTTATTAAGATCACTTTCACTGCTGAAATTCTTTCCACTCTGCTTACCAAGTTCCCTCTTCCTGCTCAGACTGGAATCCCCCCCAGATTTAACAGAGGTATGTAATTTGCATTTCCTGTTCAGTTTATTTGGTGAAGTAGGAGCGAAGGAGTTATTCTCCATAGTGTCTATAGCCGTGCAGTTTTTCTTTAGTCTGGTTTCTGCCGTATCTATGTAATTCAAATTCATGTTGTCTTTTTTTCTATATTTCCCTTTTCTCTTTTCTTTCTGATCTTGCTGGGACAGGAAGCCACGAACAACAACAGGAAGAGAAGTGGACGATTTCTCTCCTCCATTCTCATTCACAGACACATCAGCTGTTTGGGGGAAAAAAGAAAATTAACATTCTGATTAGAATTTAGAAGGGTAAAAGGGGGGAGGGTGTCTCCCCCTTCAAAAACATGCCAATCTGCATTGCAGGTTTGGTACAATCCACTTGTCTAACCAGGATGTTATATATGCAAATTCTTATCTGGGAGACTCTGATGGGCTTCAAGGAGTTTTTCAGCCAAGAAACATATTTAGGCTTTGGTGTTGATCAGTCAATCTGCTCAGCCACTTCCATGGAGCATCTAGGATATTTCCCAAATCTATGGTGAGTATTTCTGCCATGGCCTTATAGAGAAATGAACAGCCTGGCCTTACCCAGAGCAGCCAAATTCCTAGAAAACTCCTGCATGACTTCCCAGCACAAGATCTTCTGGTCAAGTTCTAGCAGCCTCCACTCCTCCTTCGTGAAATCCACAGTCACCTCTTCAAAGGCATCAGAGCTCTAGAAAGAGAAAAAAAAGTGTTCTTTAGCAGACAATCACAGGAAACACTTGAAAGTTTTCTCTCTTCCTGCACACAACATAAAACAAGACATTTGAAATAGACCAAATGGACATCTACTTTCAGGACAGATTCATGTCTTCCTGCCCAAAATAGTCCTTGGGGCTGGGAAGCTATAGCTGCACAAATCACGGCTTAGGTCCGTGATGGCAAACCTATGGCACGCAGAGCTCTCTCTGTGGGCACACGTGCCGTTGCCAGCTGCTCTTCCGGGTTCCATTGCGCACATGCATGATGGTTAGCTGGTCCGGCACGCATGCATGCGGTGGCCAGCTGCTCTTCCGGGTTTGTGCTGGCACTCATGCGCACGCCACAACCTGGAAGAGAGCAGCTGGCCGGTGTGCATGCATCGGCTGTCCAGTGCACATGTGCGTGATGGAACCCGGAAGAGCAGCTGGCCACCACACGCATGTGCACTGGCCAGCTGCTCTCTTCCGGGTTCTGGTGCTTGCACGCACTCCAGTTTCAGCACTCAGCGCCGAAAAGGTTAACCATCACTGGCTTAGGTGCTTCACAAGCCACCCTTGGGGAGCTTCCCACTGGGCTGGAATAACTCAGCAAGGAGGTTTTGGGCAGAAAATCCCCTAGACCAGGGATGTCAAACTCACAGCCCGCAGACCAAATGCGTCACGTGCTGACCCCCCCCCACCCCCGGTTTAGGGAAGGGGGAAAAAGTCCCGATACATAACATGACGACGTGATGAAGTGAGTTTGACACCCCTGTCCTAGACTCACTTGCCCCGCTGTCCAAATTCCTGAGAAAACAGGACATAGCCACTAGGAATTTCTTTTCTAACCCATTTCAAAATATTGGTAATGTCCTTAAAATCCCAAGTCACTTGACAAAAAGTCTTATTGTCACAGCCATTTAGTGTTGACTTACTGGTTTATCCTTCATGTGCTTTATTTTTGCCGGTGTATTTACAGTCACTTTACAAGGGAGATGGGTGGCATAAAATTTAATAAAATAAATAAATGAACAATACTTCTCAAGTATGTTTAATCCCATTGTTATTGTTTCAATTCATGACTTTTATTTCTGTCTTATTCGGACACTCTTCTGAATAGCATTAAGAAATATTAAACTCTTCCTACAAATAAATTACATTTCTAATACAAGATTCTCTGCCTGTGAATTGTCTCTTGTTTGCATCTCCAGAACAATTTTGAAAGTCAAATGTGTGACTCCTCAGGATATTCTGGGGGGACCCTCTTTTCAAATGCACACAGACTCAGCATTTGGTGTTAAAAGCAGCTCATGAATGGATGGAGCTGAAACTCCACTGCTCTCAGAAGAAACCTGCACTTACCTGGCAAAGTGGCCCAAATTGGATCCTCCTGAAAAACAGGCCTTGAATAGAGCTGGATCCATCTCCTCTTCCCTGAAGCTCAGCTGAAATCTCCTCTGGGAATGGCTCCCGCACCTGAAGAACAGCCTGGTTCATGATCCATTTTCAGCTGATGGTATCTGTCAACCCTGAAGCTGATCTGACTGAAGCCATTTTGAAGCTTCAGTGTTGCTGAAGTGGAGCTGAAGGATAGGGATGGGGGAAATAGAGATAGTTGGGGTGTTGTAGCCAAAACAAAATACTTTCTTCTGGGAACCAAGGACATTCCCATATGTGGCCAGAGAGAGAGGAGGAGTGGAGTTACCAGGCAACCGCACAGCACCTTGATTGGACCATGTGACTGATTGTTTGGGAAAGGGGGAAAACTTTTACTTTTAATTAGATGAAAACCGCAGGAACTTTCAGAGTTGGTTTATATCCCATAAAACTATTCTTTGAGGAGTTCTACCTGCCTTAGAGTTTTGCTTGCTATGGATGTATTACTTGGAACCCTAACAGTATCAATGTTAGTATGCATTCCTTACCTCTTGCTTCCCTAACCCAAATTCAGAGAGAATTCAGGAACTCTGCTCTGTATATGACTTATATTTCTGAGTAAGTGATGAACAGAGGAGAGTGAGAACAGCAAGCTGTGTTTTTATGTACATAAAATGTAAGGGTGTGTTAGTTTTTTTCCTACTATTGCGGTATTATAGAGCTTATTAAATGTGGCTCTGAACAAGAGGCAATTCACACAATCCAGATGCTTCTCATATCTAGTTTTAGATCACAACAGATCACAACATAAACACTGATTATTATGAGGCATGTGGATAACACCATGAAGGATACAGAGGTGTAAAGGAAGAGAAAGGTCAATTTAGGAAACAGAAGCATTTGCTTCAAGAAAAAAATAGTTCTTCAAATATGAGGAATTCCAGAAAAGGCTGTAGAGTCATATTTTTAAATCTCTTTGACTTCTTGCAGATGGGACTAGATCCCTGATTTCCCAATTTGAGCAGCATTTGCCTCAAGAAGAAATTAGTTCTCCAAATGTGAGGAATTCCTGAAAAGGCTGCACAGACATATTCTTAATCTCTTTGATTTCTTGGAGACATGGATAAATCCTTGGTGCTCTCTGAACTTGCTTGTTTTCCTGCAGATGTTTCATTAACCAAACTAGGTAACATAATCAATGCTAGTAAGGAATGGGACTTACTCTCAGTTTATAGACTTAGACTTAGAATAACTTTATAGTCACTTTGAATGTACACTAATCAGCATCCATTAACATGAAATTTTGGTGCATACAGCTCTCAAAGGGTCACCACCTCCAATATACACTACATAAACATGAAAAAAAAATACAAAATTATGCATGTACCCACATATATTATATGACACAGAGAAACAACACAGTCTAGTTTGGATGTATACATGTACATTGGGAGAAAAACGAATCCTGTGAATTTACCAGACGGCTGGCATAAGGAACAAAGCTGTTACAGAATATGGTGGTCCTGCTAGAAATACTTTGAAACCTCCTCCCAGAGGGGAGCAACAGAAACACTGTGAAATGTGTGTATGGGGTCCCTAACAATGCTTTGAGCTCTGAGCACATAGTGTTTATAAGCAGTATGCTGAATAACAGGAAGTGAGCTTCCTATAATCTTCTCGGCTGTCCTCACCACTCTCTGTATGGACTTTTTATGTGAGGCACTGTTGCCACCAAACCAAATAGGGATGCAGTTTGTTAAAACTCTCTCAACCCTGTCTCTGTAAAAAGTGGCCAGGACAGAAGGAGAAAGATGTGCTCTCCTCATCCAATGCAGGAAATTCAGATGCTGGTGGCTGCCATTTCAGTGTTGGTGGGGGTGGTCTAAATTACAGTGACACCTATGGGATCACCACTTTGAGAACTTATAGCGAAGGTCATCATGCAACGTCTTGTAGCCAAAGCACTTCCACAAATACAACTGAAAATATGGATCATATATGTAGCCGACACCTTCACCATAATAAAAATGACCAATTAGGGAACATCCATAGAACCATCAATAACATTTTTAAAGGAATCCAGTTTACCAGAGAAGAAGAAAACAACAGCTCGCTACCCATCCTGGACATCCTGATCAGCAGAGGTCATAGTGGCAAACTAGAAATGCGACTGTACAGAAGAACCACCCATACTAACCAGTGCTTCACTTCCAAACAACCCAACCTCCCACAAAAGAAGCTGTGTAAGAACTTTATTTAAATAAGTCCAAACTCACTGCAGCAACCCCAAACAGCAGAAAAAGGAAATGGAGCATCTATACAAGATATTCCAACAAAGTGGATATCCATGAAACATTATCAAAAAGTCCCTGACCACTCAACCCAATACAGCACAACTAACACAAACTCTAAAAAGAATTACACTGCCATACATCAAGAATATCTCAGAAACCACCCACAGAGTACTACAACCACATGGAATCAGCATAGCACACAAGCCAACTAAAGCCGTTCAAAACATCCTAAGCAAACCAAAAGACCCAACAACTCCAGAAGAAAAAAAAAAAATAGGAGTCATCTACAACGCACAATGTAAGGACTGCAACCACCAGTATGGAGGACAAACAGGCAGAAGACTGGCAGAACGCATCCACGAACACCAATTAACAGTCAGAAGACATGATGAAAATTCTTTAATTTCACAACATACAGACAGATTTAACCATAATTTCAATTGGGAAAAATGTGACTATCCTAGACCTGTCCAAAAACGCCAGAGGATTTCTAGAAGCCTGGCACTCTGACAAATTAGCCATCAGCAGACACATAGACACTAATAACATCTATAGACTGTGCAAAAGAGACAATCGACCAGCCCAAAAGGGAACAAAATGACCCAAGCACCTCTCCATCAGCAATCAGCACCCAGATCAGCATAAGATTAACTCCAAAGTTAACATCAAACCAACAATCGAGAAGTAAACAATACCCCATCAAGAAACTGCCAAAGAGCTAACAGTAAACAGCCCAACCAAAGAATCTTTAAGCCCACCCCCAGGAATCCTGAGAGGACAAGCCACCAGAATATAAACTGACAGCAAACCTCACTCCTTACTAGCACTGAGGATTTTACCTAATTTAGTAATGAAACTTCTACAAGAAAACAAGCAAGCTCATGATGTGCTGGCTGCTAAAACAAAGCAAGGTTACATTTGAAAGGAGACCAGAAACCCTGTGATTGTGCTGGCAAGAACAAAGAATGCTTGTTCACAGAGAATATGCACAAGTAACACTTGTAGCAATTCTAGGTGGCTAGAGGACTGATAACAGTAACAAAGAGTTAGACATCCTGCATAGCTGAGCTAAAAGTTAGGAATAGGGATGACCTGCAGCAAATAAAATGTGTATTAGATAACTCCTGGAGCATTCATTAGCTAAGGATTAGGAATAGGGCCGGCTAGAGACCAATAGAACCAATTGTCAGATCATTACTAAAATGTTTATTAGATGATATCTCTTTTTATCCCTCCTTCTGCTTTAGTGAAAACGTATAAAGCTTTCTTAATCTTTTATTCTTGGTTCTTGGCATTTTGGCCTGGACTCTTTTTCCTTAGAGCACTCCAATAAAAAGGCAATCAAAATCTGCACCTCGTGTCTGGCGTCCTTCATTGGCTTCGGCACCAGGCTCAGACCCGAATTGGGGACAACACTCAGAGACCCCAAGGACACCCCGCCTCCCCATGTCATCCCCGAGCTACAAATATTCTCCTTTATTGGCACATGGATAGATCTTTGATCCTCCCCTCCATCCTCAGCTCCCAGGATGAGCAGCACCCTTCCTCACCTGCCCCTTTCCGAACTCTTCCCTCTGGGCTTGGCTGAGCAGGAAGCCTTCGGCCAGGGCCACCGCCTGGGAGCAGCTCTCGGCCCCGCACTCCCTCACCCAGCTCGCCATCTCCGCGGGCAGCAGGGCCAGCAGCTGCTCCAGCACCACCAGGTCCAGCATCTCCCCTTTGCTGCTCCTTTCCGGCCGCAGCCACTGACGGCACAGCCGGTGCAGGCGGCTGCAAAGCTCCCGGGGCCCCTCGGCCTCCTGGCGGCAGCGATCGCCAGGAGCCTCTGGGACGAGGGTGCTCTCCATCCCTGGAGATCTCCTGGATTCCCAGGCAATCCGAGGGGGCTCCCATCAGCCTCTCTGCACCCCCTTCCTCCGCTTTCCAGGTGGAGAGAAATGGGCGTCCGCTGCTTCGGGGCTCCTGCGCCCAAGAAGAGAAACTGCGAATCGTTTCCGCCACAATTTCCCTTCGCGCTCCCGGCTCCGAGCGCTGCAATGAATGAATGAATGAATGAACCCGAATGATAGATACGCGCCGTCCTAGAGTGGCCCTGTGGTAGCAAGAGAACGAAAGGGGAAAGGAGCCCCGAACGATAGATATGCGCCGTCTAGAATGGCCCTGTGGTAGCAAGAGAACGAAAGGGGAAAGGAGCCCCGAACGATAGATACGCGCCGTCTAGAGTGGCCCTGGTAGCCAGAGAACGAAAGGGGAACCTGCCTCTTCCGGCCTGCCGGGAGGTTTTGTGCCGCTGTTCTTCTTTCCAGAGTTTGGAGCGGAGGTGTGGGGGGGGGGGGAGCTTCGGAGAAAGGTCCGCGGCGGAAACGGAGGCTGGGACGGCGTTGCGTGCAAAAGGCAGGGAAAGGACCGATGGCCTCGGAGTGGCCCCTCTAAATCAGGCGCTTCCCACCTCCCTGGGTCCTCCCTGCGCCGTGCAGGGAAGTCGGGGAGCCCCTCGGATTGTCAAAGATGGGGATTTTTTTCCCATTTACGTCGGTGAACCCAGGTGAAGATGAAAGGAAAGGCGCCCGGTAGCACTTTTGCCATTTATAACACATTTCCTCACCTCGCAAAACTCGCAAGATTCGTTTCTCTCGCCAGGTACTTGTGTATAACATCCGAACTAGACTGTGTTGTTTCTCCGTGTCATATATGTGGGTACATGCATAATTTTGTATTTGTCTGTCTGTCTGTTCATCCATCCATCCATCCTATCTATCCATCCTACCTACCTACCTACCTACCTATTTATCTATCTATACCTCTCTCTCCATTTCTATCTATCTATCTATCTATCTATCTATCTATCTATCTATCTATCTATCTATCATCTATCTACCATTTCTACCTATCTATTTCTACGTATTTCTACCTACCTACCTACATCTATCTTCCTATCTTATTTATCGTATATATGTATCATCTATCCATCCATCCATCCATCCTATCTATCTATCCATCCTATCTATCTATCCATTCTATCTATTATCTATCTATCCATCCATCCATCCATCCATCCATCCATCCATCCATCCATCCATCCTATCTATCTACCTTGTTTTCCCCAAAATAAGACATCCCCTGATAATAAGCCCAATCAGGCTTTTGAGTGCATGGCAATAATGCCAAGCGCTTATTTCAGGGTTAAAAAAAAATATAAGACAGGGTCTTATTTTCAGGGAAACACGGTATCTGTCTGTCTGTCTGTCTGTCTATCTATCTATCTATCTATCTATCTATCTATCTATCTATCTATCTTGCCATGTTTATGTAGTGTATATTGGAGGGGGAGACCCTTTTGAGAGCTGTATGCAACAAAATTTCATTTTAATGTATGCCGATTAGGGCACAATCAAAGTGACAAAGTTATTCTAAGTCTTAAGTCTACAGAACAAGAGGTTTGTGAGTGCATAGAGCGGCTAGACTGATGGGGGATTGAAATCGGGGAGGGGGGTATTGGAGGGGAAGGCAGATTGGATTTGGGGGGGCTGAAAAACAGAAGGGAAGACTTGCGCCTCTGCCTCGCCCTTGAAGTTCACAGGAGTGGCTGGACCGGTGACTTTCCTTGTATCAGCAGGTGCCTCTTCTCCCAAAGGTGCTTTTTCGAGAGGCAATTGGACTGGTTTTTCTTTGAAGATGTTTCAATTCTCATCCAAGAAGCTTCTTCAGCTCTGATTGGATGGTGGGGAATGGAAGAATTTATCCTCCTTGCAGACAGCTGGACATTTGCATTCTTTTAGCAAGTTGTTAAGGTCACCTGAAGATTTATCTGTGTCATCAGGGTCACCTGAGTGGTGCAAATCGGTGTGGAGCCTTCTTGGAACTGTTGAAAGGACTGATGTGTGTAGATGATGGTATTGTAGCCCTGCCCCTCTGTCAATTGAACAGCCCTCTCTCAACAGAGGGGAAGGGATACGACATCATCTATCTCCAGTCTACAACACAGTCCTTTCAACAGTTCCAAGAAGGCGCCACACCAATCTGCGCCACTCAGGTGACCCTAAGACACAGATAAATCTTCAGGTGACCTTAATGGCTCACAAATTTAAACATTTGCTGTAGGAGGGCTTTACCGTGCTGGTCAAGTATTATAGGTATTGTGGCTCTTCCAATGGGCTTTGGGTGTGGGCTTGCTATGAAAAGGGAAGCCCCCTGCTAAATTATGTATTTGCAATGTTATTATTCTTCTGGCATGGATTTTAATTTGTTTTTATTATTTCAGAGAGAATGTTTTTTTTTTAATTGAAAAAGTTTTACAATTACATTTTTTCCCCATTCCCCCCCCACCCTCCCTAACCTCCCTAACCCCCCCCTAACCCCCCCTTCCCCCCCGGACTTCCACAGAATATAATCCAAATCAAAATCCCCTTTTTATAAAACTTGAACCCCTCCACACCCAATATATTTTTTCATCTTGACAAATATTTCTATCTTTATATAATACTTTCAGTTAAAAGCTATCTGATACTTCCTAGTTTGATATTTGTTCTGCACATAATCTATCCACTTTTTCCACTCCCATTCATAAGTCTCTTGTGAGCGATCTTTTAAATATGCTGAAATCTTCGCCATCTCTGCAAAGCTGGCCATCTTCAATGTCCATTCCTCAATAGTGGGGATAACTTCATTTTTCCAATATTGACCTATCAGTAATCTCGCTGCAGTTATCATATACAATATCAACTTTGTTTCACCCAATGTAAAACCCTTGGCTATACCCAATAAAAACAATTGTGGAGAAAACTGAATTTTTTTCTTCAAAACATTCTGCATAACCCACCAAATTTTTATCCAAAAAGCCTTCACTTTCTTACAAGTCCACCACACATGATAATATGTAGCATCTAAGCAATTACATCTCCAACATTTTGGTTGAACATTAGGGTACATACATGACAATTTCTTAGGATCTAAATGCCATCTATAAAACATTTTATAAAAATTTTCCCTCAAATTCTGCAACTGTGTAAATTTAACATTCTGAACCCAAATTTTTTCCCATGTTTCCAACATCACTGGTTCTGCAAAATTTTGTGCCCACTTAATCATACAATCTTTAACCAATTCAGTTTCTGAATCCCTTTCTAACAAAACATTATAAAGCCTTTTAATATGCATTGGACCTTTCTCTTTTATATGTCTAACCAATTCTTCCTCATGTAACATAATACCAGTTTTTTGGTCCTCTTTCCATCTCAGTTGAAGTTGATTATACTGTAACCAAGTTAGATTAATCCCTTCATCCAACAATGTTTCTAATGTCTTCAGTTGCCATCTGCCCGCATCTGTAAAAAGAACTTCTTTATATAAACCCCCCCCGAGTGACATTATATTTGTATTCCACATAATATGACCAAGATCCAGCCATAGCGGTATTTTGTAATCCCATTTGAATCGGTGCTTCTTCCAAACTCTCATCAAGGAGTCTCTAAGTATATGGCTTTATTTCAGAGAGAATGTTTTAATGGTCCTATTGCAATGTTGTTTGTGATCCACTTTGTGAATTAGAGCAGAGGTCTTCAAACTTGGCAGCTTTAAGACTTGTGGACTTCAACTCCCAGAATTCTCCAGCCAGCATAGTTTGAAGTCCACAAGTCTTAAAGCTGCAAAGTTTGAAGACCTCTGAATTAGAGCAACAGGCAACTTCTAAAATAAATAAGCTCCTGGAAGAAAGCTCTGTTTGTGTGCATGCTAAAATAATTAATTAATTAAATAAATAAATATTGGAATACATGGCATTGGTAATTTCCCATTGATTTATTTGTCTGTTTGTTTGTTTAAATTGGGCTTCTTCAACTGTAGAATTCTAGGCCTTTTTTCCATCTGTGGTTGTCAGGGTATGAATAACTCCCAAGATTATATACTAATATTGGCTGGGAAGTTATGTTGCAGTAATTCCCAATTTGCTTTGTTTGACTTTCCTTTAGAGAAGCACGTGAACGCAAACAGCGAATCATGTCTCTGTAACTTGGTCAACAGGTCATGGTTAAAATGAGCTTTTTCTGTGAATTGTAAACCCTGTTTCATCTGGAAGAGCGTGCTTTTATAAATTATTTTCCAGACAAGGAGTAGAGGAAACAATGCAGGATGGCGTTAGAAGCCATGTGGAAAGAAAACCAGTGGCAGAAGGAAGACAAAGGAAGTGGCTCCATTGGAAGGCTTCTGACTGGAGCAAATCCAGAAGAATCTGAGAAGGAATCAGAGGTGCGGCTGGAGCAAAGGGGTGAAAGTCATTGGCGGGAGTTCCTGGAAGCCAGTCAGAGCCTGAATGGAAACAGCCCCAGCGGCCTCAGCTTCAATCAGAGGAAGCTTTTAATGTCCTGCAGAGCTCACTCCAGGGGTGAAATGCTCCTGGTTCGGACCGGGTTGCCTGATCCGGTAGCAATGGCGGCGGGTGGTTCGGAAAACCGGTAGCAAAAATCTCTGCGCCCCCCCCCATGCCCAGCTGAGCCGCACAATCATCAGAGGCTTTTTTTTTAACTTTTAAAAGCATTTTTTCTACAACCTCTTCAGCTGAAAAAATGCTTTTAAAAGTTTTTTAAAAAGCCTCTGATGATCGCACGGTTCAGCTGGGATCTTCAGAGGCTTTTAAAAGGATTTTTTCTACAACCTCTTAAGGTTGTAGAAAAAATCCTTTTAAAAGCATCTGACAATCCCAGCTGGGTTGCCTGATTGTCAGAGGCTTTTAAAAGCATTTTTTTTTCTGCAACCTCTTAAGGTTGTAGAAAAAATACTTTTAAAAGTAAAAAAAAAAAAAAAAAGTTGCCCCCGCCCACCCAGTCACATTACCCCCCCCCCAAGCCATGCCCACAGAACTGGTAATAACAAATTTTACATTTCACCACTGGCTCACTCTCAAGGGAGGCCAGAGCCAGGCAGGGGCTGAGTGAAAAGATGGTGTCCCAAAGCTTGCTGGATCTCAGGGGAAACCCTCCAGAGCTTGGAGTCTTCTGTGGGAATGAAGGAGGGGGCTTTGTATAAGGAAGAGGGACCGGATTGGAAGAGGAAGTATTGCCATTCTTGGGAATTCTGGTGCCAGAATGACAAGGGACCTCAAAAGGTAATTGGGTAAAACATGTTTTCGGCAGATTCCAACAGCAGCAGGAAATACAAGACGTAGATCAGGAGGGCAGGTCAGTGAATGGCCTTCCTAAGGTGCAGGTAGTCCTCAACAACAGTTCATTTAGTGACCGTTCAGAGTTACAACAGCACTAAACAGTGACTTATAGCCATTTTTCATATTTAACGACCATTGCAGCATCCCCGATCACATGATCAAAATTCAGATGCAGGCAACTGACTCGTATTTATGATGGTTGTAGTGTCCTAGGGTTGTGTGATTCCCTTTTACGACAAGCAAAGTCAATAGGGAAGCCTCACGTTAAGATTCACTTAACGACCATGTTACTAACTTGACAACTGCAGAGATTCTCTTAACAACTGTGGCAAGAAAGGTCGTAAAATGGGGCAAAATTCATTTATCAACTGTCTGGCTTAGCGAAAGAAACATTGGGCTCAGTTGTGGTTGTAAGTTGAGGACTACATGTATTATTGGGGTAGTAATTCCCCTGTTTGTTATTTTCCTGATAATGTTGGGATTGATGGAAGTCCACAGCCTGGAGGAGGACACAAGTTGCCCATCCCAATTCTAGATTCTGGTACAGGCCACTTGGTCCTCATACTGTTGTGGCCCGTCAGTGGCCTGTGCAGCTAGTAGCTGATTCCGACAGTGAGGAGGCTGGTGTGGTGCTGCGCCAGCAGCCTGTGCAGCTGGCACTCAAGTCGGACAATGAGGAGGTTGGAGAAGATGTGGTGCCAGAGGCAGGGATTCAGCCAGGGCCTTCAGAACCTCCAGAAGCTCCCTTAAGTGAAGAGGACGAAGAGGAGGAGCCTCTTCGCAATGCACAGGCGCGCAGAGCTGCCAAAAGGCAGGAGTGGCTCCTCAGGAGGAGGTCTCCTCGGGAGTAAGGGCTAATTTGGTCCTTTTGGGGCCCCTTAGGCCCCTTAGTTTGGGGCTAATTGGCCACTCCCTTAGGCTATTTAAGGAAGGACGACTGAGGCAATTTGCAGGGAACAACTTCATTCACTCTCCTTTGTGTCTTGATCTTGGTTCTCTTATCAGTTTCCTGCAAATTGCTTCTGGGCTTTCTGCCAACCATAGTAAGATTACGATTATTTATTCTTTGGATTCTTGTAGGCTGTTAAGAAAGTTAATTAACAGCCTTTGTTTGAAAAAGACTGATTTAATTTAGTAAACTAAGGTTTGTACAGACTTTGTGTGTGCTGCGTTCTTTGGGGTCCGTAGCTGGGGCAGAACACGTACTGAAGTCTTTTTCATGGAGAAGCCAGATTGGGCTTCCCAGATGGGATGCCCAAGAATGGGGAGCAGGAATAAATGCACCTGGGAACATGATACAAATCTCTCCCATGGGGCCATTTTGAAGGAACTACTCAACCTACGACCACAATTGAGCCCAAAATTTCTGTTGCTAAGTAAGACGGCTGTTACATGAGTTTTTCCCCTTTTATGACCTTTCTTGCCACAGTTGAATCACTGCCGCTGTTAAGCAACAGGGTTGTTAAGTGAATCTGGTTTCCCTGTTGACTTCGCTTGTCAGACGGTCACAAACCGTGATCTCCTGACACTGGGACACACTGAAACCGTCATAAATACATGCCCAATTGCCAAGCATCCGAATTTTGATCACGAGACCACAGGGATGCTGCTACGGTCATAAGTGTGAAAAATGGTCATCGGCCATTTTTTTTCAGGGCTGTTGGAACTTCGAACTGTTACTAAATGAATGGTTGTAAGTCAAGGCTTACCTGTAACTACCAAAGGATGGTATGAATGTCTGACAGAAATATTGGATGATACCACTCAAATTCCGTCTATCTTCATTCAACAATGTTTTGCTTCAGGCCCATGATATGCTGTGTTGAATTCGTGTAGGGCTTGGCATTATGTAGCTGTAAACATGACAAAGACAGACAGTTCAGTTAAGTATTTAAGGCACCAGGCTGGAATTTGGGAGATTGTGAGTTCTAGTCTTGCCATTGGCATGAAGCCAACTGGGCCTCTCAGCCCAAGGAAGAAGAAAGCCGGGGCAAACCCCTTCTAAAGTCTTGCTAAAAAAAACTGCAAGGGCTTAATCTGGCAGTTGCCTGGAGTCAACACATGCACATGCAAAAGCTTGACAAAAATTATTTCCTTTTCATAAATCATGCATGATTAATTATGAGAGCATTGTATTAAAGAATGCTGTCACTGTATGATTTGAACTGGGGACTTGGTATAGTTATGTGTATTTTGCTTTCATATTTATTTTTATAGCAAGTCCAGGTACTTTTCTCCAACTTGGAAAAGGATGCGGGAGAATCAAAGAAGATGCAGCCACCTGGCAAAACTCATCAAGAAGGAAACAGAAAGACCGCCGTTTCCAGTAAGTCTTCTTGGATTTCTCGTGTTATCTTAATGTAAAATTAGGACAGCTGCAGGAAGGGATAGAGGTAAAGAAACCCAATGAGTTTTTTAAACACATCATACAGGTAGTCCTCAATTTACGACCGAAATTTACACTGCTGAAACATTTGTTCAGTGAACATTTTACAATTTTTCTTGCCGCTGTTGGTTAAGTGAATCATTGCCATTGTTAATTCAGTAACGTGGTTGTTAAGTGAATCGGGCTTCCCCATTGACAGAAGGTCGCAGAAGGGGATCGCATGACCCTGGGACACTGCAACCATAAATCAATATGAACCAGTTGCCAAGTGTCTGAATTGTGATCACGTGACTACAAGGATGTTGCGATGGTTGTAAGTGTGAAAAACGGTCGTAAGTCGCTTTTTTCAGTGCTGTTGTAACTTTGAACAGTCATTAAATGAATTGTTGTAAATTGAGCACTACCTGTAATTCTTACCTAATAAGGTATTTGTAACTTGCCTCAATTTTACACGTAACAGAAAATAAGCATTCTATTTTCTCCTTTTACCAGGCCTGCAGTGGCACCATTACAATGTGGCTAGGTGGGTATGCATTATGGGGGATGGAACATGAGTTAGCTGGGATCTTGTATTTTGTAACTGATCAGTAGGAGAAGAAGTGGTGGGGGTGGCAGCAACAACTTACAGGACCAATCTGTAACCTTCTTTGTTGCTTCCCCATTGACTTTCTTTGTGGGAAACCAGCAGGGAAGGTCCCAAATGATGATCACATGACTACCAGACTCTATAACATTTGTGAACTGGTTGCCAAGTGCCTGGATTACAATCACGTGAACCCGAGCTTGCTAGGATAGCTGGAACATCAGTTATCAGTTATTACGGACTTTCTATCTGAGGCAGCAGTGCCTCAGACAGAAAGTCCATACAGAGAGTGGTAAGGACAGCCGAGAAGATTATAGGAAACTCGCTTCCTATCATTGAGGATACGTCTTATAAACGCTATGTGCTTAGCACTCAAAGCATTGTTAGAAACCCCACACACCCACTTCATGGTCTGTTTCTGTTGCTCCCCTCTGGGAGGAGGTTTCGAAATGTTTCTAGCAGGACTATCAGATTCTGTAACAGTTTTGCTCCCTATGCCATCGGTCTGGTAAACTTGCAAGGTTCATTTTTCTCGCCATGTACATGTATACATCCAAATTTGGCTGTGTGTTTCTCTGTGTCATATAATATATGTGGGTATATGCATAATATTTATTTAATTATTTTATCATGTTTATGTAGTGTATATTGGAGGTGGTGACACTTTGAGAGCTGTATGCAATGAAATTTGCCAATTAGCGTACATTCAAAGTGACAATAAAATTATTCTAAGTTCCCTCGTTCAGTGCCATTGTAATTTTGAACAGCCAGAACATATGTGGTCATTAACTACCTGTATGAGTGCCCTCTTCTACTTTATTTTAAGGTTAGGCAATGTTTTCTCCCACTGTTAACAAAAGATCAATTACAGGTAATCCTCGACTTACAACAGTTTACTCAGTGCTTCTTCAAAGTTACAAGCAGCACTGAAAAAAGTGATTTATGACCGTTTTTCACAGTTACGACCTTTGTAGCATCCCCCTGGTCACGTGATCAAAATTCGGACCCTTGGCAACTGGTTCATATTTATGATGGTTGCATAACAGTGTCCCTGGGTCATGGGATCCCCTTTTGCGACCTCCTGACCAGCTGATCTGTCCCCATCCACACACACACACAAACACAGCCAGCCGAGGGTTAAGGAAACACTTTGGCACACACCAACTTATCTCCAACTTGGCAGCGATTTACACACCGTCTGCCAAGTGCGTTTATTTCCACAAAACAGAAAGATAAGATACTTAGCGTACAAAAAGTCCAAGCAGAATAATATTTCTCTCAGCAGTTCCGGACGAGGCTTTAGTGACTATCCAAGGTTAGTTTTGTTCGTCACAGGGATCACTGGCCACCACCCTCTATTATATAGTCTCTGTGGTCACTGGTCCAGTGACTCAGTTCTAATCCCTAGCACGCCTCCTGAGCTGCTGCAATCGTTTATCACGCCTTCGGAGGCGTGCGTCCAGGAATGATGTTTCTCCTCCACTCTCATCCGAGCCACCTGTCTCCCTGCTAATCTCCTCTCCCTCGGCCGGCACCTGAGACAGTGCCAGAGGGGAGGGGCCTGGAGAGGGAGGCCTGGCTGACTCCTCTTCCTCATGCTCGGAGCTTTCTTCCTCCGATGGGACAGGCTCAGAGGGCGGGGCCACAACACCAGCAAAGTCAATGGGGAAGACGGATTCACTTAACAACCTTGTTACAAGCTTAACAACTACAATGATTCACTTAACATCTGTGGCCAGAAAGGTCGTAACATGGAGCCAAACTCACTTAACAAATGTCTCACTTAACAACAGAAATGTTGGGCTCAAGTGTGGTCATAAGTCAAGGACCACCAGTACAGTTGTGGGCAATATTAAATTAAACATCTCGATCAATTATAATGTTAGTATAATAAAAGCAGTTCTGATCAAAACAGGGAAAAGTTTCCCTATTTTCTTTTTTTTTTTTTTTAATAATGCTATCCCTCCCCCCCCCCCTCTACAAATCAGGTATCGGACAAGGGAAGGCAACATTGGCAAGAAGTAATGAGTTGAAGAGTTTGGGTCATTTGGAACTCCATGAAGCTCTACAGGAGAAAGCCCAAATTAATTGTTTTCGATTTCATGAGAAGGAAGAGACACCTGGACATCGGCAGAGAGGCAAAGCTAATTTGGACTGTAAATTAAGCCTGGTAGGAAAGCAGTCCCTATTTTGGGAGGAAGGAAACAGTGGTTTGGATGAAAACGCCATTCAGCAGGGGATTAGGCAGATCTTTGATCTCCTTGAGAATCCCAGAAGGCCAGTGATGCCGAAGCCCCACAGATGCTCCTATTGTGGGAAAAACACAAGCTGCAGATCGCAGCTGATTATGCACGAGAGGATCCACACTGGAGAAAAACCATACAGGTGCTCCGAGTGTGGCAAAAGCTTTGGTCGAAACAGCTCTCTGGTGGTTCACCGAAGGACCCACACGGGAGAAAAGCCATACAAGTGCTCTGAGTGTGGGAAGGTCTTTCGCTGCAGCTCCAACCTTTTTATCCATAAGAGGACCCACACCGGAGAGAAACCCTATCAGTGCTGTCGGTGCGGCAAAAGGTTTGGCGAGCACACCACCCTCGTGATTCATAAGAGGACTCACACGGGAGAGAAACCGTTTGAATGTCTGGAATGCGGGAAAAGCTTCAATACTAGTTCAAATCTTACGAGTCATGTGAAGTTGCACACAGGAGAGAAACCCCACAAATGTTTGCAGTGTGGGAAAAGTTTCAGTCGGAATTCCAACCTGGTGATACACCAGAGGACTCACACGGGAGAGAAACCGTACGAGTGTCCCGATTGTGGGAAAGGTTTCACAACTAGCTCAAATCTAATAAGTCATGTCAGTTTACACACGGGCGAGAAGCCGTTCAGATGCCCAAACTGTAGTCAGCGTTTCAGCCACAACTCCACTCTTATTAAACACAAGAGGACTCATACAGGAGAAAAGACCATCAGCATTCTGATTGCAAGAAAAACTTGATGATCTCTCTGGGGAACTTCCAAGAGTTCACCAGGATGCAAACCATTGTTTGTTTCCAGCTTGCCTGGGTTACTTTCAGCCAAAGAGACAACTTTATTAAACACAAGAGACTCAACCAGAAGAAATGCTGAGTGCAAAAATCAATGAATCAATAAGTGAAAATTAGGATTTCAACAAGAATTGATTGAAAGTAAAGTAAGAATCTGAAAATAACAATGCAGAATAAAGATATTCCTAAGGCATCAAAACTATTCTTATTTAATCCAATTTAATATATTATAGAAAGATACAGTAGATGTCCTGGTGGCACAGTGGTTAGAATGCAGTATTGCAGGCTAACTCTGCCCACCGTCTGGAATTTGATCTCGACAGGCTCAAGGTTGACTTAGCCATCTTTCCAAGGTTTGTAAAATGACCCAGATTGTTGGGGGCAATATGCTGACATTATAAACTACCCAGAGAGTGCTGTAAATCACTATGGGGTGGTATATACTGTGTTTTCCCAAAAGTAAGACCGGGTCTTATATTAATTTTTGCTCAAAAAGACGCATTAGGGCTTATTTTCTGTTTAGGTCTTATTTGGGGGAAAATACGGTACTAAATGCATCCATTTGGCTGACAACCTTAACTGGGGCTTATTTGGGAGGTAGGGCTTATATTACGAGCATCCTGAAAAATCATGCTAGGACTTATTTTCCGGTTGGGTCTTATTTTCGGGGAAACAGGGTAAATCTAAGTGCTTTGCTATACACAGAAGGAACAAGTGATAAGTTTGTTCTAGTTGCAGCCAAAGCTATAAGCAGGGATTGTGACTAATTAAATGCAACAGAAACTTTTGGGGAGGAAATACAACATAATCAGTTGGAGAGCTGTGAGCGATCTCCAAATCATCCAGTCCAGGGGTCTCCAAACTTGGCAACTTAAAGACTTGTGTACTTCAACTCCCAGGATTCCCCAGCATGGGTGACTGAGGAATTCTGGGCATTGAAGTCCACAAGTCTTAAGGTTGCCATGTTTGGAGACCCCTGATCTAAACTAAAGGGGGTTCTTTCAAGGCAGAAAGGATACTGCTTCAGTAGTTTTGTTCAGAACATGAAAAAAATACAGAGCGTGAATTTGGAGCGGCTGATCTGCTGAAAAACAGCAAGATTGTGGGAATGATAGAATGTGTTGTGAACATGACAGGAACTGAGTGCAAACGATGCTTGTTTTGGACAGAAGCCATTGAAATTCAAGAAATGAGTAACAAAAGTCTAGAGTTAGCCCTCTTTCACCAACCGTTTGAAGTTAAGGTTGCTGAATGAGGAGATTTATGGCCATTGCTCATACTTGTGACTGTTAGAGCATCCCATTGTCACATGATAGCAATTTGTAGTTTTCACTGCCTGCTTCCGACAAGCAGAATCAGTGGAATAGTAAGCGGGAAATGTAAGTCAGTCATGGGCTATCATACTTAACACCTGGTGGTGATTCGCTTAACAAACATGCCTTCAACTGAGGTGAATCACAAGTTGGTGTGCTCACGTGAGATTTCACCATACAACTGCATTGCTTACTGATGGAATTGTTGGTTGCCGTTGTGGATGGTGACCAAGGACTTCCTGTATTATATTTGCAATATAGTTGTGGGATTTTTTTTTTTGCCAAGAAAGTAGCACAACAATAAAGAGAAATGGCCAAAATATTTTCAGCAGCCATCCAACTTTATTCCAATCCTACTTTATTTTTATACCATTTTTATTAGTTCTACTTCAATTTACCCACTCTAAAGTCATCCTTTAGATTATTTATACATTAAATGAAATGTGTATAGCCTCCCCACCACTCAGTTTACCAAAAGCAATGGTAGGCAGTATATAACCATCAGATTGAAAATCACAAACATATAAATGACATCTATAAATATGTAAAAATTTATATTAAGAAATAAGTAATATAAAAACAACTATATAACCTCCTAGGCTAGAGATGGCGAACCTTTTCGGCTCTGAGTACCCAAACTGGAACTCATTGGCTTCCAGCCTGCAAACTAGTGACCTCCAAGTGTTTTGCCCAAGCAGCCTAGGAATTCTCAAGGCTGAAATCTTAGTAAATCTGGAAACTGGGAAGGCGGCTCTAGTGAGCAGGGAGCATAATAGACAGAGAGGAGGATAGTGTCTGCTATCTAAGTGTCATTGGAAACAACGTGGGAGACACTTCCAAGTTTTGTCCCATATTATTCTATTAATAATATGAAGATGACAGGCTGTTAATTATTTAGGGCTGCGCCCCAAAACAAGAACTTCATGAACTTTTAGGAGCCAGGAAGCACCCAGCTAATCTGATGAAGCTAGAGCTCGGACGATCTAGCTATTGCTGACGCTCTATGGTTAGGCCATAAGCGCGCCTGGATAGTGGCAAATAAGAGTAGAAAGCTCCTGTAGCTGAACAGAAAGGAATTGAGACCATAGAGTCGCGGATGGTTAGAGAGACTATGGCAAGGCGAAGCGCCGAGGAACCTCGTCTTCCGGCCTCCTAACGGGGGGGGGGAGCGGTGGCGGCTGGGCTTTCTCCCGGGTCGAAGCGGCGGCTGGAAGGTGAGTGGAGGGCAGGTGGGCGGAGAGGCCGGGAGCAAGTCGGGCTCTTCGGTTCGCTCCACGTTGTAGCAGCAGATCAACAACTACGCGGAAATACGTCTCCTCCTGCACATCCCCCCCCCACCCGCCCAATTTTATCCCCCCGCCCAGAGCTTCACCTTCCAAGTTGCCTGCAAGTTTCTGTTGCTGGGGAGATTCCAACCACACCGTCGCTGTAGGGTCGATTCCGGGTGTTTTTTATGAGCCTGTTGTTCTGCTTGCAAGGGAGGAAGTTCACGGGCAACACCGGCGCTTCAAAGCTTGCAGAGGCTTCGCCGTCTCAGGATCAGAATAGAGCTGGAAGGGACCCTGGAGGTCTTCTAGTCCAGCCCCGGACTCTCAAGCAGGAGATCCTATAATACCATTTCAGGCAAGTGACTGTCCAGCCTCTCCTTTATAAACCTCCAGCGATGAAACACCCACAACTTCTTTTTTTAAAGAAATAAATTATATTATACAATTTTCTTCTTTTTTCCATTACAATTTCATCTTTGCAACCGCTCTGTACCGGTATATATCCACAGTTTTTTACACATTTATATGCTAATATATATACATTATATATTTATCATTTCTAACTATTTTTTTACCTCTTACATTTTTGTTACATTTTACCATAATATACTAATATATATATATTATTTATTTATTTATTTATTGGTTCGATTTATATGCCGCCCTTTTCCGGAGACTCAGGGTGGCTTACAATGCGTTAAGCAATAGCCTTCTTACTTTTGTATATACCTGCTTAGTAGGGCTTTCGCCCCCCCCAAGCGGTGTTCTTTTTTATACAAAGTCAGCTTATTGCCCCCACAAACCTGGTTCTCATTTTACCTACCTCGAAAGGATGGAAGGCTGAGTCAACCTTGAGCCTGGTGAGATTTGAACTTGCAGTAATTGCAGGCAGCTGGTGTTACTTAACAGTGCTTTAGTCTGCTATACCACCAAGGCTCTTCTATAATAAATCTATAATAAATAGTCTTCTACCTATACTTATTTCTCATTTCTAATTCTTTCAATCTTAATTTTCTAATCTCTGCATCTACTATCTAACCATTTGTACCATACATCCCAAATTACACAGTATTCTGTTTCACCTTTGTCCTTAATTTCCATTGTCAGCCTGTCCATCTCAGCACAAGCTAGTATCTTCTTTATTATCATTTACTCAGAGGGTATATTTACATTTTTCCAACTTTGAGCATATACAATTCTGGCTGCCGTTATATTAAATATTGGGTTGTTTTATTATATTTCCCTGTTAATATACCTAGTAGGAACAATTCCGGCTTTAATTCTATTTGCTGTTTTAGCATTTCCTCTAGCCACTGTTTTATCCTTATCCAATATTTTTGTGCCAGTGGGCATGTCCACCACATGTGGTTATATGTTCCCAATGTTTGTTTACATTTCCAGCATTCCGATGATCTATGTGGGAACATTTTTGCTAATCTTGCTGGTGGTGGGTGCCATCTGTAGAACATTTTATAAATATTTTCTCTATGTTGCCGATATTGTTAATTTGTAATTTTTCCCCATAATTTTCTCCAATTATCCAATTCTATAGTATAACCGAAAATTTTTGCCCATGTTATCATTGTTTCCTTTACCGTTTCTTCCTCCATTTTAAACCTCAATAAGTAATTGTACAGTTTTTTTATCAACTTTTCATCTCTCCCCTGTAGTATTCTATCCAATTCTTGTGCCTTCCTTATAGAATCAATAGTTTTCCTGGAAAACTTTTCCGCATCTTTCTTATATCTCATCTGAATTTGCATAAAGGGCCACCAATCCAACTCAATTCCTTGATTTTTTAATTCCTGTTTTGTTTTTAACTTTATTTTTTTAAAAAAAATCTGTATTAATTATTTACAAATAAAAAAACATATGTAATTATCAAACAGATATGAGTTATATATAGATACACAACACAACACATAAAGACAGCCACATATAAGGACTAACCGGGGGTCGTATTGATCCCCCAGATACCTATTCATAGTTACATCCTGGTAAATCTTTTTGTTCAGAGAACATTGATTATTTTAAATAACAAACGCTATCTGATTATGACTAAGTATATATGTAATACTATATTGTTTACTCTAAGATTGTCCTCTTCTTTAGCCATATATACCAGCATTCCCAGTTACTGTAGTATATGGATTCTTTTTTCTCTCTTAGGATATACGTTAATTTGTCCAATTCGGCACAATTCAATATCTTATTTATTATAAGTTGATCTGATGGTGTATTTCCGTTTTTCCATTGCTGGGCAAGTGCCATTCTCGCTGCTGTTGTAATATGGATGAATAGGTGCCAATCTTGCTTGCCCACGTCTTTTAATTTGATTCCGAGTAAGTAAGAATCTGGAATTAGGGGGAAACTTGCACCTGTTATCTTGTTCAACCATTTTTGAATCTTTTCCCAATATTATGTGCTTCATAATGTTCTAGAACAGTGATGGCTAATCTTTTTGCCGTCGTGTGCCAAAAGTGGAAGAACACGGGGGGGTCACACACATGCGTGCCCACATCCATAATTCAATGAGCCCCAGCCCCGCACATGCACATGGTACCCCTCCCCGTGCTCCCCCCACTTTTGGCATGTGATAGCACGGTGGACCTGGTAGGCCT